AATGCTCCTTTCCAAAATACTGCTGGAGCATAGGGACAAACCCTGTATGAGAAGGTGCCAGGGTTGGTACAGATGGGCACCGGGAGTACTCAGAGGAGGAGGAATTTTTCTGCACTTTTGGACCTGCTCTGCGGTCAGGTAGAAGAAGCTACAGGCAAAAAAGTGATCCCTAGTCCTGACTATCTGAGCCTGCAGATAAGGCACAGTGGCATCCAAAATTGTCAAGTTGATTTAGGTTAAAGATAAGAGCTAGCTGATCGGAATGAAGAACTCTTATCTAACAAATGAGAACATGTCTGGCTTTGATACATAATATCTAATTCATTTTTATTTTTATTTTTCATTTTATTTATTTATTTATTTATTTTAGAGACAGAGTCTCACTTTGTTGCCCTCAGTAGAGTGCCGTGGTGTCATAGCTCACAGCAACCTCCAGCTCTTGGGCTTAGGTGATTCTGTTGCTTTAGCCTCCCAACTAGCTGGGACCACAGGTGCCTGTCACAACGCCCAGCTACTTTTTTGTTACAGTTTGGCCATGGCCAGGTTAGAACCTGCCACACTTGGTATATAGGGCCGGCGCCCTACACACTGAACCAGAGGCGCCGCCCAATATCTAATGTTTCTTTAAAAGTTGTATAACAGGATTCCATAAGTTCTGAGACTTAAGTCCCACATATTTTACTACTTTTTTCCAAGTAATCACAAAACAGGAATAAGAAGTCTGGTGGATGCCTTACCACAAGTGCACCACATCCAACAAGCAAACAAATGTGGGAAGAAAGGGAAGTGCCCGGAATGGAGCAGTTCACAAAGCATCTGAGCAGACACGGTGGGGTATACCATCATGTATATAGCACTGACCCCACCAAAGCTGAGAAGTAAAATCCGATGGACTGAGAGTGAAGGAGGTATGTGGAAAAGATTGTGCTGCACTCCACACATTAGCATCTAGAATCCTCAATTGGTCTATGTGGGAAAGTCGACTACCTGGGCGACGAGCTTGACACCAATAGAGAGACCATGTAGGGGTCATCCTGCTTTCCTAGAACTCAAGACTGTCCGCGCTAGAGGTCAATCCAGGGAAAAGCTGACACAGCAGAACAGAGAGTGGAGCCCAATGTTAAGAGTCTGTGCTGTGCTGGCATTTGAGCCCCTCCAGGCTCCCATCCTCTCTCCAATGCTCACCTTGAGCAGGTATTATTATTCACTAAGCCTTAGTTCCTCAAACCTAAAATAGAAATAATGACAGTGTCAGCCTCTTAGAGTTGTTGTAACCATTAAGTAAGACATGTAAAGCATTCAGCATAGGGCCTAGAGCAGTGGTTCTCAACAGGGGACAATTTTTGCCCTCCAGAGGACATTTGGCAGTGTCTAGAAACATTTCTGGATGTTCAACTGGGTATAGTTGCTACTGGCATCTAGTGGGTAAAGATTAGGGATGCTGTTAAACATCCTACAATGCATAGGACCCTACCTATGACAAAGAACTGTGCAGCTCAAAATGGCGATAGTGTAAGATTTAGAAACCCTGGCCCAGCATATGGCAAATATTTAATAAATAGGAGCTATGTGCTCGCTTTGGCACCACATATACTAAAATTAGAATGATACAGAGAAGATTAGCATGACCTCTGCGCAAGGATGACACACAAATTCATGAAGTGTTCCATATTTTTGCAAAGTATCTCAAGAATGGAAGAAAAAGTATCCAATGTATTCAGCCCTACTATGAAACCAATTTATATGAATTATAGCCCAAGAATATGGGGAAAAGGGAGAGGGAGGGAAGGGGGGAGAATGGGTGGAGGGAGAGTAATTGATGGCACCACACCTATGGTGCATCTTACAAGGGTACATGGGAAATTTACTAAATGTAGACTATAAATGTCTTAACACAATAACTAAGAAAATGCCATGAAGGCTATGTTAACTAGTTTGATGAAAATATTTCAAATTGTA